ATTCATATTGTATATAATTTGATAATTATTATATATACCTTATATACAGTGCCGTGGCTACTAGATACAAGTCCCCCATTCCAAAAATAAACCTTTCAGGGCCCCAAAATTCCTAAAAATATTTCCAATAGATAAACAAAATCTAAATAAAAATCCTAAAAAAAAAAAAAAAACTTACATTTGTAAAAGAGCCCCTAAATTTGCAAATGAGCCCCCTAGACAAACATTTTTTAATTGACCTAAAAAAGTTTTGTATTTAAAACAGGGGCATCTATCAAGTACCTGAAAATTTAACTGTATTATTTCCTATATGTGCTAATGAATGGACATTGTACACTAGTTATGATAAATATTATGATAAAGTTCACATATAAAAATAAGTAGCTGAAAAGCAAAATTAACATATTTTTTCAACAAAATGAAACATTATAAAAGTAGAACTACAACTGAAAAATCTAAAAAATTGAATAGATTTTTGGCTAAATCATTCACTTTAAACAACTGGTCCAGTGTATACTATAAATAGTCTAAGCTCAGTTGTTTTCCATTTTTTAATATCTAATTAAGACCTTGATTTTCTAAAAAAATTTCTTCGAATGCAATGACGTATCTGGAACTATCCGCCAGATAAAGTATTGACTGTAATCTGAGACAATTTACAACATTTGGGCAATTTAACCATAAGTTGAGAAATCTTTGCATTACCCCTAAGCATACTTGATGCATTAAGTCTAAAAGAAACTTTGTCACCATGTCAAAATTTAATTCAATTTAACACACCACTAAGATGTTCAGAATGCTTTTAATGACAAAAAATCTGAATCAGTGCTTAAAATTAGTGAAATATGTAGGAGAATTATCTTGCCACACCACTCTCCTTTCTAAGCACAACATTCACATCAGTTATAACTATTGTGTCCTTTAATACACTCTACAAATGCTCTAGCTGGTGCATCACATATGATAACAGCAAGATTGATTTTAAACTCAATATTTTCATAGATAAAACCATCTTTTGCAACTTTGAAATCTACCAAAAAATTATGTAGACAATTAAGGTGACCTGCTATTCTCATTTACTGAGTTTTTTTACTCTTTTTTCACAAACCGTACTTTTTTCAAATCCTGTACTCTGAAAGTACTCATTTGTATTTCTAAAACATTATTTTTATATTATTTCATTTCAATTTTATTAATTAAATATTTAAAACTATTTTGACAGTGATTTGAATTTCATGCGCACATATTGCTTGCCGTTTCCAGCACATCAGAGGACAGGGCAAACACCAGATACAAGTTTGACAGTGATTTAAATTTTGAATGCACATATGGCTGCCATTTTCAACACAATTGAGAGGCCGTATTATGAACCTGGAGAGATAGATACTACAGACCTCTTTTTCTAACGATATCAAAACTACATTTGTGAAAAGAGATGGATCCAACATTTGCATATGTAATCCCCAGGCTGATCTTTGATGTGCAGTATGTACGCCATGTTTGACAGTCTTGACGCATGCGTAGAATGTACAGCAAAGTTTTTATCCATTTATTTAATTAAATAAAAGGATAACAAAAACTTTACTGTACATACTACGCATGCGCTTATGGTTAATTAACCATAAAATCAAAAATTACAAACTTAATTATAATGTACTAATTTATGTTCGGTGTCACTCATATAAAAAACAAGTCAATGGAGCGACACCTTCATAAAATAAAAAAATAAAATAAAAAATAATAAGAAAGAAAGAAAACTACATTAATACAAGTAATAAAAAAAGAAGTATAAGGAACAATACTATTTAAAAAGTTGGAATCAACACAAAAATATAAAAGAGTAACGCTAAGAAAAATGAAAAAAAAAAGAGAAAATGAACGGATGAGATAAGATGAGTGAGAAAATATGTAAGAGAAAACAAAAACTTAATTACATAAGTTCAGAAGGATAAAGTGACAGAAAAAATTTTTTTGCAGAAAAATATAAAAAAACAAATTAAAGGCAAATTTAAATAAAAAAATATATACATACACTACTAGATACAATATTAAAGTCTATATTAAAGCCTATAAACTGACCGCTTTGGAAGATTCCAATCCCGGAAAAAAAATAAAAATTTTAATTGAAGTTAAAAATTTTTATAAAATTTGCTATGAATATACAGAAGAATGGATAATGAACTTAAGAGCATTGAATTGTTTTAAATGGACCCTTATAAATAGTAAAGTTTAATAGAAAAAAGTTTCTTCAGCAGTCGAATTTGTAATAAAAGAAGTAAAAGATATTGTTATTAATGACAATTTTCTTTTTGAAGAAATTGGAAGAGTAAATTTATTTTTAAATGAAGAAAAATTAAAGAAATGGAACAATGAGAAAATAAAACTTGAAAAAAGATGGGTAGATTTCTTTCGGCATTTTAGAGTAGAACATATCCCACATGAAAATTTAAAAGTTTTAACAGAAATTTCTTTATGTTGTCCAGGCACTAATCCTGCTGTTGAAAAGGTATTTTCACTAAGAAATGATTATTGGAGCAGTGAGAACTTGCAACTTTCTGTAAAAATATTATATGCCGTCTTAACAGTCAAATTTAATATGAAATTTAATATGTTCGGATGCAGCTACATTATTAGACAAACATCGTCATCTAGCAAAAAAAATCCACTCTGACAAAAAATATGTTTAAAAAAAAAATAAAGATTTTTATGGTTTTATCTTCCTTTTTTTTTTACCTATGAAATACTTGCAAAGTGTACTCTTTTTGAACTAAAGATAGTTGGTCCCCTTAAGATAATAAAAAATGGAATTAGATTTTTGTACACCACTTTTTAAACAAATTTCTAAAAACATAATTTGGGTCCCCTAATATTGTCCTAGGCCTAGGCTCTGATGGCAATATTTATAAATAGCAACAACTTTTGGCAAATTTTATTTAAAATTTACATGTATGTTTAAATTTTGTCATTATTTTAGATTTTCATTGAATAAATTCCTATATAAAAATATATTTTATATAAAATATTTATGGAGTATTACTCTCTTTTACTATCAGCTATCAAGATGATTAAACTGACTTGATCAGCTTCAGCATTATTCTGAAGCTAATGAGTGTATAGCTGAAGCTGAAATATCAGCTGCAACCCCTACTTTATAGACAACATAGTTAATGTGATGTATATACATTATAATAATAAATGTGTGTGTGTTTTTTTTTACTCAAATACTTATTTTTTTATTTTATGATACATTTAAAAATTTTTTTTAAACACATGTTTTTTTATAATATTTAATACTTAGGAAATACTGACTTTTGCCAAATATTCTTTAGATAAAAATAATATTTACTTACATTACTCTAATCAAGGTTATAAACAACGGTAATATTTACTCAAGTTATTATATTTGTCCCCCAAAGTTAATGTAGCTCTATTATACATAAGTCTCTCACTAATTCTAATAATAAAAAGATATTGCCATTATTACTATAATTATATTTACTAACCTGTTATTATTAATATTTATCAAAAACACATTCTGGTTGTTGAAGTCACTTTTATTCATATCAATATGCAAATATTGTCAACAGTCAGAGTGCACCATGCAGAAATATTCTTTAACATGCTGAAAAATACAAGATATACATAAGATACATATCATATAAGACCTATTGCCTGGAACTTAACATTTTATATTGTTTAACCTACTGTAACTCAATTATAATAAATAAGCATATGGTTATAATCTATATAATAACTAACATCTTTTTTTTAGTTATTGTTATTTATGTAAAAGTTATTAAGTTAAATTAAAGTTTTATAACTAAAGTTTGAATGCAAAAGTTTATATCAATAAAAATTTTTATCAGTATTATAAACATAAGTATTATATTACAAGTATTTACAAGTATAGGTATTGTAAGTATAAGTTATTATTATGTATATTATGAAATTATTGTTTATATTGCAAATGTACAATTTTAAATCAAAATCAAAAAATATCAATGAATAAAAAATGAGGTTGATGCATTACAATAAAGCCATATTTTTGCATATAAACATCTAATTATATCTTTATTTATATCTGACGGTGGGTAAACTTCGTTAACATCAGTCATTTTGCTTGCATAAAATATAGAAAAATCAATGGAAAAGAGTGGATCTGTAAAAACGATTTAAAAGCTTTTAAATCTCTAAATATAACCTATCCATTACATTCTATTCGCCTGTTTGCTCTTTTTAAATGTTTCTGACTAAACTAATATTTTGATTAAACTCAAACCATTTATTATCTAATTATATCACTAGCTGCTAGTTTGCACTGTTTGCATTTTTAAAATGATCAAAATATAAAGTTTTGTTTCTGTGAGTGACTAGCAGAAACAAAACTTTATATTTTGATCATTTTAAAAATGCAAACAGTGTCTCAATGGAACATTTACTACATGTTTAATAGTTTCTGGAACATATGTTTAACAATTATGTTGAACTTTGTAAATTCATTTAAAAAATAGTATATATGTATTTATATGTATATATAAAAAGTCTTTTATAATTATAATAAATAAATGAGATTTACATGTTATTTACATTGCAATGAAATGAGTTTTACAGTGACAAAACACATCAAAAAAAAATTCTTTTTAATTACAATGTAAATATAATGTATTCAAAAAATGTAATGCATAAAAGTTAAATTTTTAATCTAATTTGACGCACAATACGAATTAAAAATGGCAACCATCGAGTAAGTTTTGTTATGATTTTTTTTAAACCTTTTGGAAACCTTATGGGAAACCCGTCAAATCCCCAGATTATTCGGCCCATAAAACCCTAACGAGCAAATATGCTTGATTTTATTACCATATGGGACCCGTCTGAAAACCAAAACACTTACCCGTCAAAATCCCGTTCCCGTAAGGCTAGACAAAAACCATACGGTATCCGTCTGTCAATGTTGGCTGGGAAGCATGTGCTTATCTATTACAAGTACCTTTGATGGTGAAAATTACATTTTTTATCTGAAGAGAGTTGGGAGAAATGGTAAGAGTTTTATAACATATTAAAATTAATGTATGAGTTACCAATAGAATTTAAAACTAACAGTTAAACGTAATTTTTTACAGTTCATATTGAAACGAGATATTGTGTAAAGAGGTTTTCAAAGAAGTCGTTTTAATAACAATGGAAAAGCTTCTGATTCCCGAGATAAACGTGAAAGCATTTGATACATGAATAAAGAATCGTTCAAAAGTTTGCTTAATTTTGACATTGTAATTTTAATTACTATTTTTTTTGAAATAAATCATTCAATTTATATATAAATTTGCTTTTTCTGTAAATTTTAAACATTTAAACGTAGTTTTGCAAGATTTGCCATGGGTAAACCTCGTGGGACCCTCACGGGATACCCGGCGGGCATACGCATATGGGCCCTAGAAGAAAACTGCGGCCATGATCCGGCGGGTTTACCGATGGGTTTCCCATATGGGTCCCATTTGCAAAGCCAAATGGGTCCCTTACGGTTTTAAAGTACGGGATTTGACAGGGACCCATACGGGATACTCGACGGGCTAACCCATATGGGTCCCATATGGAAACCGCGGTCATGATCCGGCGGGATACCGGTGGTCTTCCCATACGGGACCCAGTTGACGACCCGTATGGGCCCCGTACGGTACCCGTATGTCAATGTTGGCTGGGACAACTACTGTTTCCTATAGTCCCAAAACAAAGTTTTTTCTGTATAAAAAAGGTTCTTTAAATTATACTGGACAACCACCAAAAACTCATGTTAAATGTCTTGACCATGTTTTAACACACCCTAATATCGCCAAAATTTTAATTATTAAATATTTGATTGATTATTTAAAGAACAACAACAAAGAAATATAATAAAAAATATATCTTACTTAGTTAAAAGTTACACTAGTGTTGCATCCATTGTCAAAAGAGAGAGGCTATTCTCCCCCTTTTCCCTGACTAAATAATTTTTTTAAAAAAAGCGTTTTTGATTAATGGGAGAATTTGTGGTTAAATTATTCTCCTACAGAGTGACTTCTATTATCTGTCAATAGTGGTAAAAAGGTAATCAAAACAAGGTATTTAACAACCTTTATAAATCTTCAAGTCTTTCATATAGTGCTTGATACGAGTTTGGTTAACGAAAAGTTAGACTGTTTCAAACTAAAAAACAAATAAAATGTTATCAACACTAAACAATTTTCAATTATATTAATGATGCCCTATTTCATAAAGTTTTTTTTTGGCTTTTAGTCAATGATTACAATGATAAATTCTACTAATAAAATTATTTTATAATCATTTTTAACAGTATACATCATGAGAAGCTAACCCAGAGCCGTCTATCAAAAGGTAACCCAGAGCCATCTATTAAAAACGCATAGCAAGTTACAACACTTGCAGTACTTTTGTTTAGCAAGTCACAACACTCGCAGTCCTTTTTTTTAACAAGTCACAACACTTGAAGTACTTTTTTTTAGCAAATCACAACACTTGCAGTACTTTTTTTAGCAAGTCACATCACTTGAAGTACTTTTGTTTAGCAAGTCACAACACTTGCGGTACTTTTTTTTAGCAAGTCACAGCACTAGCAGTACTTTTTTTTTTCAACAAGTCACAGCACTTGCAGTTTTTTAATCTATAAATTTCAAATTTATATATTTGTGTTTTAACAAAATAATATCTAGTCAACTTTCTGGAAACAATATCTGCAACATGCTGAAACATTTTCATGCAATGTTCAACAACTTTGATATCCATTTTATTAACCAACCTTTAATACTTTTTAAATCTTTTAAATAGCGCTTAATAGAAGTTTGGGAAAATTTTTTTAGCTGTTTCAAACTAAAAAACAAATAAAATGTTATTAAAAAGAAATAATAATGGTTTGTTTATTTTTTATCTCATATAGTTTTGTCTTGGCTTTTAGTGAATGATTACAATAATAAATTTCTTTTAGCTAGTCACAACACTGGTAGTATTTTTTAGCAATTCACTTGTAGTACTTTTTTAGCTTAAATTTCAAACTTGTACTTTCACAGTGTTTTATTAATATAATATAAAATTAATAAAATTGTAACTCTTCTGAAATAACATCTGCAACAAGCTGGATCTTTTTCATGCAATGTTTGACAGCTTCCATATACGTTTCATCATCTTTCCAGTAAGAAATAGTGTAAACTCATTAATAAAGTTATTTTTTCTACTAATAACTTTTTCTACTCTTCCATTATACAAAACAGGTTTGGATGTTTAGGATCATACAATTCATGGTATAGTTTTTTGCCTAGAATTCTTCCATACATGACATCTTCTAAATTATAAAGTTGGTCATTGGACAAGTTTTTGTATGAATCTATAATTTCATCATAAGTTAGTTTGGATAGCTAACGCTCTAACTTTTTTCGCTCTAACTTTTTTCTTTTTCATCCATTTTTTGGCGCTTGGATTCCTTTCTTTTCGGAAATATTGGCTCTAATTTTAGCCTGATGCAATCGATTGCTAACTCTATTTATACGTGCCACATGAACTGACCATTTAACAACTCTCTCAAATCTCTCAAATTAATAATATAGAAAGCTTGCCAGCTGCAGCAGATGACAAGGATATTAAATATCAAATAATAATAAATATCAATGACACAAAAGATTAAATGGTATATGTAAATATTACATATTAAATATACTTTTATAGTACATATTAAATATACAATAACGTAGTACATATTAAATAACATAGTACAATACTGCATAATAGGGCGGGTTAAAACCATACTTTTTTTAAAATTTTGACAAGCAGCACTATGTGGAGTTTTTGTAGACTAAATTTTTTTTTTTTACACACACTCCTAGGGGTTGCACCACACACCCTAATTTTTCCTAATTTAAACTTTTGTTAAAAATTTTGTGAAAAAAAAAAAATTTTTTTTGTTTTGTTTCGAAGTATTCTTTTAACAAAAAAACTTTGAGCAAAAAAAAAAATTGTTGCTCAATTTTAGAATTATTAACTTCATGCCTTAAATAAAGTTTCAAAATATGATATCATGTCAGCATAAAAACTTTTGCTATGCTACTATGTAATTTTTTAGTTTATTCTATTTGTTGCATTTTAGTCTCTATACATTGTATATTTAGTGTTTGTGTATATATTTGTCTACTTTTTATTTTTTAGTAATCAAAAATAAAATATAACTAATAATAGGCAACGTAAATATCTAAATAAATAAATCGTAAACGTAAATAAATCGCAGTAAAACTGATAACTTAACATTTGGACAAGGTTCTAAATTTCCAAATACAATGATTCCTAAAAAAAGAGATGTTGTGAAATATTGCTATTATGTTCGCAGAAATGAAGATGCTAAAGGCATTGGGTCAAGTTCTGCTCATAAATGCTACAAATTAGTTACCACTGAAATTGAAAATAATTGGCGTAAACTCAGTTTTCCAACAATCGTAACAGAGAGAGTATTCTCAAAAATTTGTAGGTTAATGGAAAAAGCATCTAATTTAAATGAAACTTTAAGACTTAGAAGAAATGCTAACTTTTATGGCAAATTGAAAGCTTTTGACAATATGTTTGATATATGTTTATGCAATTATTATAATTTAGAAAGAGAGAAATGCAGATGCAATATTAAAGTGCCAATAAAAGCGTGGGATGCGTTTGTTGGGCAAAAGAAACGCACAAATCAACTTGGACTACTTGATCGTGCCTACACATATACTTTAAAGAAAACTAAAACTAGAAAAAAATAATTTTGTAACAAGGCAAAAACAGTTAAACACACATAAAAATGTGGAGAATTATATTGATAGACAAATAACCGATGACAATTTTTATGAATTGAGGATAATATCATATTAGACGAATCTAATAATGAATATGACAAGCTATATGACTCTGATGTCATAAAAAAATGTTATCAAAATAGGTTTCATTACAATGAACTAGCAATCATAGCAGATTTTTATCGTGTCAGTTGCAGAGCAACTGCTGCTATTGTCAATGCTGTTCTAAAAAACATGGGTATACTAAATCAATCAAATATGCTTGATAAGAAAAAAGTAGAAAAAGAAAGACTTCGTGTTGGACAAAAAAATGTAAATGAGAGAAAATGCGAAAACTTGAAATTGCAGTGTATTGGCTTTGATGGAAGAAAAGAAAATACAATAACAACTGCAGGGATAATTAAAGGAGAAAATATAACAATTGTTAAAGAACCAAGCAGCAGCTATATAGATCATCTAATATCTTATAATATAACTTCTTGCTGCATTGCTAATGAAATTCTCCATTTAATACTTGAAACTGGCAGCAGCGGTTCTTTAAACACTCTCTTATGTGATGCAACTGTAGTAATAACTGGAAAATTTGAAGGTGTGATAAAATTAATTGAAACAAAACTCGAAAGACCAATGCAGTGGCTCATTTGTCAACTACATTTAAATGAACTTCTCTTTAAACATGTGTCTGAGTTGATTGATGGAAAAACTTCTGGCCCTGGATCATTTAGAGGAGAAATTCGTAAAAAAATAACAGAGGATTTAACTAATTTAGCAGTAGTTCCTTTCAAAAAAAATCAATGGTTCTTTTCATTTAATTTCAGATAATATCTTCGGTAAATTAAGTTCAGATCAAAAATATCTTTACAGTATCTGTTTATCTATTCAATCAGGAGATGTTTTAAATTAAATATCTAAAAATTCTCCCGGAAACATTCATCATGCCCGATGGCTCACAAGAGCAAATCGTATTCTACGCTTATACATTTCTACAGAAAAGCCAACAAAAGAACTTATTGACTTGGTAACAATAAAAATACATTGCTATGCACCAGGATGGTTCCAAATCAAATCAAATTATTTGGCAATCAATGGCGCTCAAAATATTTGGTATCTTGCTCAATTAATTAAAAATGCAATTATTGATGTAAAATACAAGGAGGTAATGGAGCAAGTTTTGAAGCAAAACTCATATTTTTCTAACCCAGAGAATATTTTATTGCCAATGATAAGTTCAAAGGATACTTAAATCCAGGAACACTAGCGAATCCAATAGACATTTTAAACTTCCTACATCAATAAATCTTGGAGCCAAAGATTACTGCAAATTAATAAATTAGGATATCGAAGAAGTTCATTCGCCACTTTTACTGAATGGT